GCAAGGCGCCGCAAACGCATCGTGTCCGCGGCGCATCTCACCGTCCCCCTCTCCATCTGTCTGATGACTGCACCCTCTTCTCCACGCCTTGCTCATCGCCACATGCACAGCTTCTCGATCGGCACAGCTTCAGGCGGACCGCTGGGAGGCTTGCTAGCAGAGACGCTTGGATGGCGTTGGTCTTTCTTGTCGCAGGTCCCTTTGCTCTTGACCGCGTACATCACCATCGTCTTTATGCTTCATCTACCAAAACTACCAAAGGAGGAGGATGAGGCCGAGGCGGTTGCACAGACTGCTCCGGTGGCCACCAACGACCAAGCTCGCTCCGACCATCCCAGCGAAGCGAGGACTGCGCCGGCTCACGCAGAAGTCCGCATCGTGCCCCTGTGGAAATTGCTCGATTTGCCCGGCACCCTCCTCTTGACCATCAGCTTGCTCTGTCTCATCTCGGGGCTGACACTCATCTCCTCTTCGAGATTGCCCATCTCGGATTCGAAAGTCATTGCATGCTTTGTCAGCTTCGCTGTCCTGACGTCCGTCTTTCTTCTATATGAAGGAACGGTAGCGAAGCGCACAGGAGCTGTGCTCCCCATGCGACTCTTCAACAGCCGCACCGTCATATGCGCTGCAGGCTTTTATCTGACATCAGTGAGTCTCGCTCGAGTGGCACAAGATGCTTGGTTCCCCAAAGCAAGGCGCACCTCACGCTGAGACGCACCGCCATCCCTCGCCAGAACGTCGCCTTTCAAGGCTTCATTTTTCACATGCCAATCTACTTTCAAGCTGGTCGTCTGTACACCTCGACTCAGACTGGTCTGCAGATGCTTCCACTCTCCGTCAATACCGCCATCAGCGCTCTATTCGCAGGCTTCTATCTGCGCAAGACTGGTCGCTACTGGAACGTGCTGCAGATTTGCAACCTGATCACCTTCTCTACACTGGCCATCTACACGACTTTTGACATCCACACATCCAAACTCAAACTCTACGCCAGCATCATACCCAATGGCATCGGCGCAGCGTCCTTTACCATCGTGCTTGGTGAGGTCTCGTCGAGAGCAAGGCAGCAAATGGCGCCAAAGTGGGTCGGCTGACTTGGATGCGACACCTGTTCGCCCTTTGCTCAGTCGCTTTGACCACCGCGCTGCCTCATCGCGATCAGGCTTCCGCCAATGGGCTGATCTACCTTTGCAGAGGGCTTGGAAGCGTCCTGGGTCTCAGCCTCTCGGGAGCGCTGTTCCAGGATCGAGTAGCGAATGAGCTTCACGCACGCATTCGAGGTCCGGGAAGCGCAGAGGTGAGCGGACATCTTCGTTCTTTACTTTTTCAAGTTTGCATCTCTTTTATTCACAAATTGCTCGTATTTGCCTGAATTGTTGCCGCTCTTATCACCAGATCATCGAAAAGTTGAGACGAGACATCTTGTTTATCCGCAAGCTGGATCCTGTAACGCAGTTGCAGGCACGCGAAAGCTTCATTCTAGCTGTGAGTCATCGCGGAGTGTCCCTGTGCCCCATCCATGTCAGCTGGTCAGGTCAGCTGGATGCTCACAGGCATGCTCATCGCGTGTACCTCGTGTGTGTGTCCAGTTCCGAACCGTTGCTCGCGTCTCCACGGCAGCTTTCGCATGCTGCGTCATCCTGTCCCTATGGTTGCCAGAGCACACCCTCAGTAAGACACAGAAGCCTGATTCGGAGCAACAGCCAGATGAAGCAAGAGCGCACGCTGCAACATCCACGAACGAAAGACAGGAAGATAGTCCAGCTTGATCTTGTCCTTCCCTCACGCCTGTTTTGAGTGTTGAAGACGAA